GAAGGGCATAAATTTGGGAGTTTGAGATTTGTGAATGTTAGTCACTATATATAAAAATAGATAAAAAACCAAATTTCTTCTGTATAGCACAGGGAACTATATTCAATATCTTGTAATAACCGTTAATGAAAAATAATAAGCTAATGAATATATATATATATGAATGAAACATTGTGTTATACACCAGAAATTGACATATTGTAACTCACTGTACTTCAATATGAATAAATAAATAAATATATAAATACATACATACAAACTAGAATCTACAACCTCATACCCTTGAGGACTGTTACCATAAAAAACCAGAAAATTACAAGTGTTGATGAGAATGTGGAAAAATTGGAGCCCTTGTGCACTGCTGAGAATGTAAGATGGTGTAGCCATTGTGAAAAACATTCCTCAAAAATTTAAAAATAGAATTACCATATGATCCAGCAATTCTACTTCTGGGTATGTACTCAGAATTGAAATCAGGGTTTTGAACAGATACTTATACACCCATGTTCACAGCAGCATTATTTTCAATATCCAAAAGCTGGAAGTGTCCACTGATGGATGAATAGCTAAACAAAATGTGGAATATATATATATACACACACATATATATAATGGAGTATTATTCAGTCTTAAAAAGCAAGGAAACTCTGACACATGCTACAACATGGGTGAACCTTGAGGACATTATGTTAAGTGAAATAAATCAGTCACAAAAAGACAAATTCTGTATGATTCCACTTATATCAGATACCTAGAATGGGCAAATTCATAGAGACAGAAAGTAGAATGGTGGTTGCTAGGGGCTGGGGCAGGGGAATGAGGAGTTATCATTTAGTGGGTTCAGAGCTTCTGCTTGGGAAGATGAAGAGTTCTGGAGATTAGTTACATAACAATGTGAGTGTACTTAAAGCACTATTAAATCATACACTTAAAAAATGGTCAAGATGGTGGATTTTATGTTGTGATTTTACCACAACTAGAAATAATTTTTTAAATTAGAATTTACAGTATTTGGTGCTCAATTCTGGAAACACATTTGAATCACCTGGG